AAATTTATTGTTATTCTAAAGAGTTTGTTATTAAGTATCATTCCTTCTTATTCCTACAGTACTTTTATACAAGTTATTATTCTCATATTCATATTTATTTAAAATCCATATAGACCATTAATTCTTCTAAATGTTTCTCGCATAATCTCTTCTAAACATTTACAATTTTTCACTTACTAGATGTATATTTGCAATTACTTGAATTATACGTATAATATCAATGCAAATAAATATAAACTAACAAATAGGGTCGACCGAGTTTAGTACGATCCGAACAATTCTGGACAGATGCCTTTAATGTTCTCTGTTGTACTGGATATCTTGCTTTGGGCGCATGTGTTAATGCCAATGAAATGATTGGAACGAGATTAAATAAATTATCCACTGCTATTAGAGATATACACACGAAATGCAACGAATTGTTGATTTGTTTGTTATTAAGGGGTACACCTCTTCAAGAATTATATCAGGTATAAAATTAATAATAATTTCAAATAACTGAAAATAGATATGAATGCCTTTCTATCAGTTTATTTAATTAATTTTTTTCTACAAACTTAATAACCATGTATATTGTATTTATTACTGATGTTCATTCTAAAAGTAACGTGAAAAATCAAACCCACCTTTTGATTCTGTTTCTATTACAAATATTTTCAATCGATTGACTAACTGAAGAAAGCAATCATATTAGAAAAATGATTTTTACACTTATCCACTATTTACATATAATGTCTACTATCTTTAAAGCAGTAGATTAGAATTTCAAGAATTTATATATGTAGGTGTAGATATCTTCTGGATTATCTTCCATAGTTTTTTTCTAGATTTGGTAAATTTTCATTAAAGGTGTTTCGTTTTGGACTTGAAAATTTAACAATTTTGCAACCACGTCGTGAACCGGCTCCCTGGTTATTAATAGCTGCACCAAATTTAGTAGGTTCTATCGATTCTGACGTTTACATCTCAAATTTGCCAAAAGATCGAGGTGTGATTTTAGAATTAAACGTTCTTAGACATCAACCTCAACCAAATTGGCCTCAATTAATCAAGGTAATTACAAAAGTAATTTTTTTCTACAACTTTATTAATAGTACAATTTTACTAACAACGTTGTTACATTGCAATGTATATTTGCATTAACTTGTTGAAAAAGGATTCTAATTAAAAAAAATTTCATAGGTAATCTTTATGAATGACTATGCGGTAGCTAAAATATTATTGAGCACTTTAATCTACAAATGCGGTAATTTCACATCTGAAAATGATTTTGACAATTTCGAAAAATTGCGACCTGATGGAAAGAGTTGCGGTGGTTTTTTATGCGGTGGTACAACGTGCAACCCATCGATGAAAGTAACATCGGCATTAGGCCTTTATAGTTTAGTGTATATCTTAACATACATAGCACAAGATCCTGGTTGTGTCATTGTGCCAGCTTTAAAGCAACTTACTGATTGGTCGAGTTATCTAGATCGACAACAGGTATTCATTAAAATATTAAAAAGCAATGTCTGTAAATGCAATGTAAGCATATTCATTTAGGTTTGGAATCAGTCAAGACCGCCCTGGTTGAATGCAATTTTGAATCCTTTAAAGAACATTATGCATCCAATTATTGAAATTTTATTGGAAGCTGTAAAAGTAAGTTGTTATCTAATTTTTTTATTTTAATAGCAAACAATGAAATACAAATAATCATCACTAAAAAAAAGTTGTACGTTAATATTATCATTAACTTTGAATATAATATTCTTATCTTCATATAATAACAAACGTAATAAGACTTTCTATTTTGCAACTATTACTTTAAAATTTAATTTAATTTATTACACACTACACAGAGTATAGAAATACACAGAAACTGGCTGAGTATGAGTTTGAATTAATTTAATGTAATAAAATTAATAATCATATAAGAATTAATAAACATTTTAAAAGAAGGATTTATAATTTTCAGGCTGGAGCTAGTATGTACCAAGCAATGTCATTAGTAATTGGCTGTTTCACCGAATTATACGTAACATTACCATCTTCAATCTTAAAAACCATACTTGCATTGCACGATAATATTCCTGCCCACTGTCATCCAATTGGTGGAAACGTTCTCCTTCACGTTTTGTGCTCATCCCTCTATACAGCTCTTATCGAATTTTCGAAAATTTGCGAAACGAAGATACAAAACAGTTCAACATCACGAGAAATAGACTACGAATTAAATTTTTTTGACTCTAATGACATACCAGCAACAGTGACCACCTTGGCTGAAGCTATTTGCAGCATCGACGAAGACAATAAGCACACTTCTCAAATCGATGATTTCTTCCAGCTTGTAAAAACGAAGTAAGGCTATTTTGTAACTTTGGGAGATATTTAGAGGGGACTCTTGTTCAAAGACAGCGAAACTAATATTTCAGTGTACAAGCATCAAATGCAGATTCGTGCATTGAGGAAACGAGCAACACGTCTTCCATTATTGAAATATATACCGACGAATTGTTGTTCACTAGTTCTGGGCGTCAGGCTTTAAAAGTATATACTTATATATAAAACATATGATCTCCCTTCTTCGAATTATTATATTTAAAATTTAATTTTAATTTTAAATCCTTGCATTACAGCTAACGCATGAACTTCTAATTCGCGCGTCTGATTTACTATTAAATAAGTTACGACGAAATGATATTACCAGACTTGCAGACAATATACCTGAAACGTTACCTCTTGTTAAACCATTAACTCATATAATGTTCCATATTGAAGACACTACGTTTGATCAGGTCGGTGTTACAATTGAAATAGTTGCGATGGAATGACAAGTAGAAAAATCGAGGAATAAATTTTTATTCAAATTATTACACCAATTCATATGTTGCGTAACATTACATTTACAGTTTCTTATTCAATATGAGAAAACAAATTGGAGGAAGCTGCTAACAATGCCACTTTCCGTTACTCTGGACCATGCACGAAGCCAACTTTTATCAAGACCAGAATTTAAAAATGTCGGCGAATTGAGTCATAAAGACAAGGAAGCAGTGTGTTCACTTAAGAAACTTTGTTCTTCTATAAAAACGGCACATTTCAAGTAACTATTTGAATCAAATTTTGTCAAATGATCTTAACATAGGATGGATGAACTAATTCTAAAATTCAAATTTTTTACATTGCTGAATTTAGAATGAATTGTACACAATTATACACGACGCTTAAAATTTTTACCTAGCTGAAATAATACAAAAAAAGTGCAACGAAAATATTTAATGTTTATGAAATGAAAAAGATGTAAGTCATATATTAAAGAAAGAATATCAAAGTATTACACATATTGCAGTTTTTATAATAAATAAAAGAACACCGAGGGAAGATAATTATCCGTATTCGTTCACTTGTCGAATCTTGATGATGAAATGACACTCGTAGGCCTTGGCGGAATTCCGATCTGAAAAATATTTTTACAAATTTTATAAAAATACTATATTCTTTTCTTTTCGTTGCGCCATATTCTAGGTGTTTGGCGTGACGCATCATCGCGAAAATGAAAAATACAGAAGTAATCGCTAGTCGTAATTCAACTGTTCACTCTTGAGATATGATTTTAAAATGATCGTTATTTCAAAGTAAAGAGCTCATGTGTGCAAGTATAGCACTTACAGACAAATGAGGATTCGAACGTCCAAAACGTAAACGCAATGAAGGCGATCGCTGAGATTTGCGAATCATTGGGTGTTCCAACGGAGTCTCGCCAAGTCCAATATTTTCTAAAGCATTATGTTGCAACAGAAGCCTGTACAGTTCATGAATATTTTCTATTGGCATTTTGTCTGATACCTCATCTGTAAATACGGTACCCTAATCTTAGGAAATGTATCGTTATATTTACTGATACACAGTTTGCCGA